GCAGGCCAGGCAGCATCAGAGGAGCAGGAAAGCTGACATTTCGGATTCGGACCTGCTCCTATGATGCTGCCTGGCCTGCTGTGTTCCTCCAGCTCCACACTGTTGTACCTGACTGTATCTGCAGTTTTTCTATCTTCCTGAAACTGCCATCCATCACACCTCCAGCTCCTGTAAATTCCTCATTGCCTCTAACTGCTGCTCCAACTGATCCATGCGATCCAATAGGATTCACATCCAGTCACACTTCCTGCAGACATAATCTGCAGGAGCATTGAAATTCCCCTTAATCTCCCACATCCGACAGGAAAAGCACATCACTCTACTAAAAGCCACCTCTGCACCTTAAGTAATCTACAGACCCAGAATATACCCGAAAAGTATATTTTTTATACTTTCACAACACAACACAATTTCCAAAAACTCAGCATTAGCACAATCTTACCGCTCAAAAATACTGCTCTAAGATAACTTAACATCTATATTTTATATTAAAAATGTAATCAAGAGACAGATCTCAGTAAAACATTTTAAAAACACTCTCCCCACTGCCTATTATAGATTTGCAAAACAAAAAGTGACAGGTTAGGATTTATAAAATTTAGTCTTAAAGTCTTAAAACCAAACACTTAGCTGACCAGGTTCTGAAATCATCACTGGTCACTCCTAGCTCCTGCGTGTATTTTTGATAATGTGGTCTCCCAAGGTCAGTTGTGAAATTGCACGTAAGTTTATAAAACAATGTCGCCAGAACAAAAGTCCTTGTGGTCCATACATTATCTCATCAGGTAATTCTGCTAGCACTGATGTTAGATTCAGTTTCATGGCATAATCAATGTGCTACGACAGTTTCAGATGTCCCATTCTATTCTCTAATAATATAGATAATATTATTTCAAAATGCGACAATCATTTTTAACAGGATCGGTAATGGACAGTGTTAAACGATACTAAACCATAATCTTCAATAAGCATTATAGACTCATTGGCTGGTATTTAAATGGATGCATCACATTTGGTAAATACATTTATTAATGGGCCAAGTCACATCAACTGATTCATAGAATTGGTCACAAGGGTTTTGTTAACAAGTCACCTTGTGCTATTTCAGATTATTCCTCAAATTAATCTCTAATCTGGTAGAAGAGATCCCAAGGGAGAAGCTGCTCCTGCAGAAGCCTGTTAAACAGATCCAGTGGAATGGAAGTTTTGAATCGGAAACTGGCACACTCTATCCAGTCAGGGTAGTGTGCGAAGATGGGGATCACATTCTAGCTGATCATGTCATCGTGACTGTTTCATTGGGTAAGAGAAATAACAAGACCCTTCAGTATTCATTCAAAATGAGAATGTCACAAATCCTAAATATTGAAAGGGTTATGCACTAACCGTGCCATAACATTTTTAAAATGAAACAGTCGTAATAGCAAAATTGGAGAATAAACATATATTAAGACAAACATAAAGAACTCAAGGATTTTCAAAACCAATCATTTTTGAGTTAGGAAATGTTAAATGCTTTAGCATTGAAATCAGCTGGAGCACTTGGTGGAAACTCACAGTCATGGAGTGTTTATTCTTAGTGTTAGAGCACCGCAAATTGCACGGTGCTGCAGAGCTGTAGGATTCATATTTGGTTGACTCCTCTCTACTAATTTCTAAGCACTGAAACGAGGGAGTTGGTGGGAAGGGATTGTATTAACAGCAATTGATATAACCTTAAAAGAAGATGTGCAAATCAAAAATGTAATATTTGTATTATATATACTTTCCTGACGGACAGAAGAAGTTCAGTGTTTCCCCCTGCTCTGCGCTATCCTCTCCAACATAACTACCCATTCCGTTCACCCCACTCACCTCAGCTTCTCATACTGTTCAATCATAGTGTATGACTTGACCTTGATTTGAACTTTTGACACCTATCCCCTCTGTCACAATGGCTGCTGTTTCGACTTGCGTAATGTCTGCTGCCTCTGTCCCTACCTTAACCCGAAGCTTTCTGTAACCCTTGTCCAGCTATTTATTATTTCTAGACAATGCAGTACTTTTCTGGCTGGTTCTTCTTCCATAAGCTTCTGTATTTCTCAAACTCAGAAGTGTATGTCTCATCCTGCGCCAAATCATACCCATCCCATCACTCCTATGATTATTAACATGTGCTTCTGGTCTCCAATGCATCAAATTTGAAATTCTTGTCTTCATGTTTAAAATGCTTCATGGCCACACCTGCTCCCCCCCCCCTCAACCCCCCAATAAACTCTTCCGGTATTTCCCTCCTCTAAAGCAATGTTTAAAACGCCTTTCATCAACTACAAGCTTTTAGCCACCCCTCTTACTATCTCCTTCTTTGATTGATGTCCTTCTTCATCTCATTCACGCTTCTGAGGAGTATCTCAGGCAATTTTTCACATTTGAGGCACCGATGGAATGCAAGTTGTTGCTGTACTGTTAGGTCTCTTGAATATGGTCAACAAACCATTTTTAAAAAATCTCACTGAAGAATAATAAAATGTGGAAATGTATGTGTGCTGCAAGTACTGAAGTCATAGCACATTTCTGATCTGAAATACAAGCCATAAATAATTTGAAACACTCTAGTAATAATTTACAATTCTAATTTAAAGGGAAGAGAATTATTATAGATAGAAAATTGTAAAGATCAGTGATTACATCCACCTTATTCAATTGCAATTAATACATTAAGACTTATCCTGAGTTCCTTTACTAGGTTATCTGAAAGAAGTAGCAGATGCATTGTTCCAGCCAAGCCTCCCAGCGGACAAGTTGCATGCAATCAAAAACATGGGCTTTGGTACAACAAACAAGATTTACCTGGAGTATGAGGTGCCCTTTTGGAACAGTTCAGAACACTGGTTTGGATTGGTTTGGGAGGACGAAACTCCATTTTCTGGCTTGAAACCAAATCTAGCTGAGTGGTGGAGACGCATTTTTGCTTATGATGTGCTTCATCCAGTAGAAAGGTATTCAATTGCAAGGCAATAAATGAAAGTGGGATTAAGAGCTATATAATACTTTTCTGGGAGTAAATCTGATAATAGAGGCACTGCAGGTGAGCAGATAGATTGCTAAGGAAATTAAGAAAGGAAAGATGACATTTAACTTCGGGTCTTCTGATAAAATTATACTGAATCACTAGAGAAACTGATAATGTTTGCCTTATGGTCATGATGCACGATGGAAGACTATTGAGGAGGTAGAATTTTTAATTAATCAATTAATCTCAATATTTAACTATTATAAATTTATCTTTGCAAGTATGGGAACATCTGACATTTGTTTATTAATTATTTGCTAGTTAAAGTTGTTGACTGAAGTTTGATCTGTTTAATAGATATGGACATATCCTTTTGGGATGGAGCTCAGGGAGAGAAGCAGAGTTTATGGAAACACTCAGTGAAGAGGACCTAGTATCAAACATTACCAGGATCCTAAGACAATTCACTGGTAAGATTTCTTAAGGTCTTCTTAATTCTTAAGGCACTGGTCCTATGCTGAGAGTACAAAGCTGTGTGTGAACACAATATGGCTCAAGAATAATGTTACAATGCTGTAGCTTTGATTTGTTTTGTCCATGTTGTTTTTTAACCACATATATCTAGCGAGAAAATGTGATTGATAAATCTCCTTGCCTATGCTTTATAATCATATTACAAGATGAATATGTTGCATAATCACACACACAAACATCCATTTGATCTCAATTTGAAACATGGTCTTGGTACTAACAAGGTCTCCATCACTGACTGGAGTCTTTCCAAACATTTCCTTACCTCCTTCCATACTGTCTCTCTGGTCTGAATCCCAAATATTTACACTGTCACTTTTTCCCACAACAGGTTAACCCTCATTTGCCTCTCCATCTTTCAGTTGCAACCCATGAATACATCAGTTGTTCTGCTCCACAACTGTATTACGTCTGCCCTTGTTCATGCCCTTTCCCTCCCTGGCCTGTCCTTAAGCATGATGATCAACTGAACTGGCTCTTCACCACTGCAACATCAGCCCAATCAGCTTCAAATGTTACTGTCACTCCCCTTCCATTGCCAACTCTTCTTATTTACCCAGTATCTCCCAAAGAGCAGACATGACTCCATTCTGTTTTTATCACATTATTCCTTCTCATTGTGCTCAATTCAAACAAAAATGAAAGAAAATCATAATCTTTTCAAGTCCACAACGGAGGTCATCCATAAAGTCTCTCTTTTCTCTCATCCCAAATTCCAGCCCCAATAGTCACCTTCCAATAGAGCACTCATCTATTTTCATGCGCACTATGTTCTCCTTTTCTGCTTATTATTTGACTACATTCACGTGATCTATGAAACCTATCACCATTTTTAATTCTTTTTCATGGAATGTGGATGTCTATAGCTAATTGACCTTAAGTCATAGCACATTTCTGATCTGAAATACCACCTTGAGAAGGTGGTAGTGAGCCACCTTCTTGAATCACTTCAGTTCTTGTGACACACAAGGCGCATCCACAGTGCTTTTAAGGAGGGATTTCCAGGAGGCTGGCCCACCAACAGTGAAGTATCCTCCCATCCAATCTCCTGATCATCTTCAACTTGTCAGTCATCAACACATAGCAGCTTCTCTCTCTCTGGCCTTGCCCCTATCCTCTGCAAAACTGCCATTATCAAACCTCCAAACAGTGTCTCTGGTCCTGTGTGGTCTTTAGTTAATACCCTCTCCATTCTTTCCTTCCTTCTGTAAGTGTACCAGTGTATTGCTACTTTTCAAAAATGATCCCAATTTTCCCAGTAGAAAGTCTTCAAACTAGCTTCCCTAATCCTCCAATCCTCCTGATTATGTAAAGTCTCTGCTTTTCCCCTTTCCCTACCTGCTCAAAACAATTTATTTTGCTGTTCATTCTAAAATACTTTGATACATCATCCTGCAAGTGGAATGCTATGAAATTATCACTGATCAAATTGTATCCACAATCTTTCTACCATTATGATAAAGAAAATTTCCCAAATTACCACAATATCTCCTGAGGTGACATGCTGCTGTTGGGAAAAAAAATTCCCCTAACAAAACAAACAAAAAAAATTGCATTCTGATCTGAAAACAAAGGTATTTTGAATAGAAGATACTTCCTCTAGATTTTCTTTGTTTTAGTATGTTGTTTACAATTTACATCGATGATTTGGAGTTGGGGACTAAGTGTGGTGTGTCAAAATTTGCAGATGACACTAAGGTGAATGGTAGAGCAAAGTGTGCAGAAGACACTGAAAGTCTGCAGAGGGATATAGATAGTCTAAGTGAGTGGCAAAGGTCTGGCAGATGGAGTACAATGTTGATAAGTGTGAGGTCATCCATTTTGGTAGGAATAACAGCAAAATGGACTATGTTTTAAATGGTAAAAAATTGCAGCACGCTGCTGTGCAGAGCGACTTGGTGTCCTTGTGCATGAATCGCTGAAAGTGGGATTGCAGGTGCAGCAGGTGATTAAAAGGCAAACGGAATTTTGTTGCCATTGCTCGAGGGATGGAGTTTAAAAACAGGGAGGCTATGCTGCAGCTGTATAGAGTCCTGGTGAGGCCACACCTGGAGTACTGTGTGCAGTTTTGGTCTCCTTACTTGAGAAGAGATATACTAGCGCTGGAGGGGGTGCAGAGGAGATTCACTCGGTTGATTCCAGAGTTGAGGGGGTTGGATTATGAGGAGAGATTGAGTAGACTGGGATTATACCCATTGGAATTCAGAAGAATGAAGGGAGATCTTATAGAAACATATAAGATTATGAAGGGAATAGATAAGGTGGAGGCAGGGAGGTTGTTTCTGCTAGCAGGTAAAACTAGGACTAGAGGGCATCGCCTCAAAATAAAGGGAAGCAGATGTAGGACTGAGGTCAGGAGGAACTTCTTCACCCAAAGGGTTGTGAATCTGTGGAATTCCTTGCCCAGTGAAGCAGTTGAAGCTACCTCACTGAATGTTTTTAAGGCAAGGCTAGATAAACTTTTGAACAGTAAAGGAATTAAGGGTAATGGTGAGTGGGTGGGTAAGTGGAGCTGAGTCTCAAAGATCAGCCATTATTAAATGGCGGGGCAGGCTCAGGGGGCCAGATGGCCTACTCCTGCTCCTAGTTCTTATGTTCTTATGTTCTTATGTTTTGGAGTGGGAGAGGTCTCATTGCAATTTGGCTATGTGCTGTTTATTTTAACAAGTGTGTATACCTGTAACAGACTTTGTTAAGAATTGTTTTTTAACTTGTTATTTAATCTGATGAGGTTAATGAAAATATTTAAAATGATATATTATGGAAGTAGAGATTATTCGCTTACGACAGCATAAAGTTTTCTTGTTAAATTTTCTATCTTATCAGTCATTGCGGACAAGATTGAAAACCTGCCTTTGTGTACTTACCTCAGCCATGCTGTAAAACAATTAGCAAATGGATAATCTCCCATATACCCATTGTTAGTTCACATGACCCCTGGTTTTGTCTCTAGGAAGACCCGTGCCACGGCCTAAAAAGGTTTTTGTGACAAAATGGTTCAGTAACCCTTACACTCGGGGCTCCTACTCCCATATATCCATCAATTCAACTGGAGACATGATTGACACACTGGCTGAACCTCTACCGCAGGAAGGAGATGGTGGACATCCGAGTGAAGTAAGTGAAGACAACCGGTAATGTAAAATTTGCACTTGAAAGGACAGATATCATGCCACAGGGGGACAACATTACAAATTTGTACAGGGGGAGTTCAGTGATGACAGTAAATATTTTGATATCACCATTAGGACAGGAACTGTACTTGCAATCACTTTTGATTGTGATACATTCAGTCTATTGAAGCAACCAATATGTATTCCTCTTAAACTTCAAAGTTCAAAGTTTAAATAAGAAGCCTGAGATGGAGTTAAGTGTGCACTTGGCAATGTTCAGTATATGCAGTCATACACTGTCTGAAAATAACAGTATAACAGTAAAGATTTCCTGTGGCGATACATTTGTCTCTGGAGAGGCTGATGCCACTTACGACTAAAATATCTTAAAACATCCCGTGGTTTGATGCCCTCCATGCATTACATCTAATGATTGGGTTATTAGATTCACAATCAATTTCAGTCTCCAGTTTTTCATACCATTTGGTAACTAATTTAAATAAATAGACTTTATGAGGTACCAAAATAAGAATTTAACAAACAGGCTTTGATTAAATAAAAATGTTTCGTTGTTTGTCAAATAATAGAAACTTTAGGTTTAGATTTTATATGGATTTTGATGACCGGGGTAAATGTGATTCAAAAATTGGCTGCTTTAAGCAGGTGATTATAATAAAGTTTCTCTCACTGGAAAAGTCCTTGGGGATTTTCACAATCACTTGTGTGACTGGCAGAGAATGTACTGAAAACGAGAGAGATTGTGACACTTTTTGTTTGCAGATTACAAATAAGCAGAAACAATCAAATGAGGAAAATAGAAGCATAGGACTGAATTTTACCAAAAATCAACCAAATGTCAATTTTGGTGAGTTTCATCAAGCATCTCTCCCTGTGTGGCCCAGTGAGATTTCTCTCATTATTCTATGAAACGCGCCTTTTTACCTGTGCACCACCTCTCTGTGGCACTCTGCTTGTCCAATCAGCCTCTGGCCAGAGGTGGAAGTGCTCACCACAGCCAGGACTTTCCAGGATTCTTCGAAGCCCAGCTGTGTACCAGTCATGAATTGCCAGACAGGAAACATTTCTCGGAGCAGTCAGGTGGTACAGCTGACACTTCTTTGCAAGTAAAAGCAAGCACTCAAAAATTTACTAGCACTAAAAACCAAGCTACCCAGTTTGCCTGTCCTTATCGTATCTCAGAACCCTATATAAGGGAGTATTAGTCTTTCCCGCAATGCCCAGTATAGCCTAACGTTTTCTTATTGTTCAATATATACTGAAAAGTCTTCAACATTCACTTATTAAACAATAGTAAAAGTGAAGGAAGGAAAAAAAAACAAAACCTACATTTGTTTCTGGGAACAGACAGAACCACTTGCCTTTTCAGCAACAACACACTGGCAGATAATGAATGATCACTGCACCAGCTCATATCTACTGGAACAGGGTGTCAATTAAGTCCTGTCTGGCTTATTGTGCCTGACACTGCAGTGTCCTACCATGATGTGGAGGTGCTGGTGTTGGACTGGGGTGGACAAGGTCAGAAATCACACAACGCCAGCTTATAGCCCAACAGGTTTATTTGGAACCACAAGCTTTCGAAGGGCTGCCCCTTCATCAGGTGAAGGAGCAGCATTCTGAAATCTTTTGATTTCAAATAAACCTGTTGGACCATAACCTTGTGTTGTGTGACTTCTGACCATGTTCTGTTATGCAGTAGGTGATGTTCCTCCTGCTCAATGTCCTCATTTACTTCCTCAGAAGACTGTCACCACTCTCCCAACTCTTCAACATTAATCACATCCCTCTTTGTATGCTTCAATTGTGCAGAGTACAGTGTGCTAGGATTATGTATGAACTTTGTCTGATCTGTGCAAGACCAATTCAAGTATCAGAAACTCATTTTCAGGAAGCCTATCATCTGGTCTACAATGCCCCAGTTGAAGAATGGGCAGCATCATATCTATACTCAGCCTCAGTCAAGGTGTTGTTAATGGAGTCATGTATGGTTGTAGAGATTAGCCCTTGTCTCTCAGTGACCTTCCTTGTAAGGCACTGGGCCTTGATACTTTAGCATTCTCCACCACCCAATAGGAAATAGAGGTTTCCAACAATGAGGGATTTGAAATGCCTCTACATGGACCTTTGACATAGGGACCTTATCGGCTCAGCAAGCAAGTCTACAACCTCATCCACAACTCAAGCTACAAATCTTCTCAAAAACTTTAAGAATGGACCTTATTCTGATGAAAAAGCGCTAGCCATGCTACACAACTACAGTAACAGATTGTAGGTGATGCATGTTACTATACCTTGTCCCACAGCCCCACTTCGTTGAGAAAGGCAGCATTGTATATGAGAGCTTGTTGGCAAATACTTACTGTTCGAGGTGAATGGAAATCAGCCCTGTGCCTTTCTGCAGCCTTAGGGGAGGCGATGGCCTAGTGGTATTACAGCTGGTCTGTTAATCCAGAGACCTGGCTAACGTTCTGGGGACCTGGGTTCAAATCCTGCCATGGCTTTGGTGGAATATGAATTCAATAAATATCTAGAATTAAGAATCTAATGATGACCCTGAATCCATTGTTGATTGTCAGGAAAAACCCATCTGGTTCACTAATGTCCTTCAGGGAAGGAAAGTGCCATCCTTATCTGGTCTCACCTACATGTGACTCCAGACCCACAGCAATGTGGTTGACTCTTAACTGCCCTCTGGGCAATTAGGAATGGGCAATAAATGCTGCCTAGCCAGCGACACCCTCATCCCATAAATGATTTTTAAAAAAGATACCAGATTGTCTTAGTGAATTGTGATCTGCAGGTGCCATTTTCAAGTTTGCCTGTGATTACTTCTTCCCAGAGATGACTATCTTCAATTAGTACTGACCAATGATATTATCAAGATTACTTGTGACCTGGATTTGTCTCCCACACAGTTAAACATTGCATGCATTTCACACGCAGAATTCTAGGTTACACATAAATTCAACCTGTACTGTGAAGTATCTGATTATGCAATTGTCCTTTGAAGAGATTCTCATCACTCATAAGTACAGCCCACATGCTTAGGCTGTAAAATAAAGCACTTACTCTGCTCACTACAACTAAGTTCAGTCCTGGAGTATTGTGGAGCCTACTAGCCTCAAAGATTTGGGAAGAGGACCCCGGGGGAGGCTGTGGCTATATCGTTCGGATATGCTGAGAGTGTCCTGTCCAGTTCATTCACCTTAGCTGGAATTTCCACAGTGTCCGGAATTCCAGCAGGACGGAAGTGAATGGCCCCATTACTCTAGAGAATCTTGACAGGAGAGTTCAGCGATGATTCTAACTGATGCCCCCTCCCTCTGGGTATCTGCTGGCTCTATTGGTACAGTGCAGGTCTGCGTGCATTACTAACAGCTGTACCTGCTTTCCATGGCAGCCACCAACCTGTCCTTGCAAATAGATAGATAGACACATGTCATAGTTCTGCTAATGTTGGGTGGATCCAGTTTACCAAGTGTCTGGCACAAAGCTGTGAATGAGCATTTGCACAAAGTTATTCATGGCCAAAGTACATGGGGTCACCTTCTGCCTGAGCCTGAGTTAGTGCCTGGTTTCTGGCATCCTCTGAGTATCATCAGGCTGGGGTATCTCTTCCTTAATTGGCTGTGAAAACGTGTCAATGATGTGCTTATCGGATTGTGCTCTCAAGCCTGATGTGGATAAAGAATCTACTGAGGTGAAAGTCTCTGAGCCAGTGGACGGTGAAAGAGAAAGCCTTGCATTGTCTGAGGTTGGAGGTGGAGGAGCAGCTGGTGAGGTGGCATCTTTGGCCAAAGGCTTGCCAGTACCACAGATTCATGCATAAGAGAACAGAAGGACTTAGTTGTGCAACAGGATTAGATACTTAAACACATTCAGAATATGTTCATAGTGGTGGTAATGGGAGAGAAGCATTACACACCCCCAATGAATCTTACCTGGTAGACTCAACATGAAATGCCTCAGCATCTCCACATGAGCAGTTTTGAGGCTCTCCTGCAACTTTAAGGATTTTCTCCTTGTAGGAGAGATGAATATTGGCAGCCTGCCCTTTCAGAAATCATACGAGACATTTTCCCCTGCAATGAAACTAAAGGAGGGATTGAGTGAGATCAGAGTGGCTGAAAGGACTGTTAATGGCAGTGCAGGAGCAGGAAAGGTGGTGAGGTGCCCCAGGTCAGTGAGTAGGAAGCACAAAGGCCAGGAAGCCTCATTAGTCCAGAAGGATAAGGTGGATGAGAGCCATTGTCCAAAGATGCCACATGCAATGTACGGGACATTGGTTAGGCCACTTTTGGAATACTGCATTTAATCCTGGTCTCCCTGCTGTAAAGGAAACTTGAAAACTTAAACTTGAAAATGGCAGAAAAGATTTACTAGGATGTTACCAGGGTTGGAGGGTTTGAGCCATAGGGAGAGACTGAATAGGCTGGGGCTATTTTCCTTAAAGCTGAGGGGTGATTTTATAGAGGTTTATAAAATCATGAGGTGCATGGACAGCATGAATAGCCAAGATCTTTTTCCCAGGGTCAGGGAGTCCAGAACTAGAGGTCATAGGTTTAACAAACAACACAGAAATTGCTGGAAAAGCTCAGCAGGTCTGGCAGCATCTGTGAAGGAAAAAACAGAGTTAATGTTTTGGGTCCGGTGACCCTTCCTCAGAGGTCATAGGTTTAAGGTGAGAGGGTAAAGATTAAGATGGACCTAACGTGTAACCTTTTCATGCAGAGGGCAATGCATGTATGAAATGAGCTGCCAGAGGAAGTGGTGGAGGCTGGTACAATTACAACATTTAAAAGGAATCTGGATGGGTACTTGAATAAGAAGGGTTTAGAGGGATATGGGCAAAATGCTGGCGAATGGGACTGGATTAATTTGGGATATCTGGTGGGCATAGACCAAAAGGAGCTGTTTCCTTGCTGTACAACTTTATGACTCTAATAATGAACATGGTAAGCTATTAGCTTTGTGGGAAGCGTGTGCAATTGCGGAGTTGGAGAAATATGCAGTGGATACAGAGAAGATGGCTAACTTACCCATGTGCAGGGCAAAATGACTTGCCTATAGCACTGCTGTACGTTCCTTCTGACCAAGGAAATGGCACTGACCCAGGCTGATGCCAGCATCTGGTGCCATAGATTCCACCGGTGGTCCTGGGCAGGGTGGAAGGCCCTCATCCTTACCACCCCGTCCACCAGGATTTGCACTCTAACAGGGAACTTTATCCTGTGGAAAGTACCAGCTTTCAGATATACCGAGATCCCACCTACCATTTCAAGTGATGGAAAGGCTCTTACAGTAATTCAAAGAAAAGCAAGTAAGTTCTCCTTGACGTCCTGGTCAATGTTTATCCTTTCAACCAGCATCATTAAGACAGATGATCTGGTTGTACAATTCACTGCTGTTTCTGAGACCTTGCTGTGTACAAATTTGCTGCTGTGTTTCCTGAAAGACACGAGGACTATTCTTTGCAAGTAGTTAATTGGCTTTAAAGCACTTGTGGTGAGGTTCTGTGGTTGTGAAAGATGGTACTTAATGTTGGTTCTTCCTTTCTTTGGCGAGTAATGATTTTGTGTGCTTAAGAGCTGTTCGTTCTGTGCACTTGCCTGCAGATCACAATAATCATATCTCTCTGATTCCAGATGATGCAGATTTTATTTGCTGGTGAAGCAACTCATCGGAGCCACCACAGCACCACCCATGGAGCACTGCAGTCGGGCTGGAGGGAGGCTGATCGACTGATTAATCTCTACTCCACCAGTGAGGAACAACATCAAACAAATAAGTAATTTAAACGCATCCATGTAATAAGAAGTAGCGACATTTGAAACTTGATTCATCAATGTAACCAATTCAATCAATTTTTCACCCTTCGTTTTAATTTCTGGCAGCTACCAGATTGGATAACCTGGGAGATAGTAAGAACTGCAGTTGCTGGAGTCTGAGATAACACAGTATGGAGCTGGATGAACACAGCAGGCCAGGCAGCATCAGAGGAGCAGGAAAGTTGACGTTTCGGGTCGGGACCCTTCTTCAGAAATGGGGGAGGGGGAAGTCCTACCCCTCCTCTCTCTATTTGTTTCTGAGCTCCCTTCCCCCTCCCCATTTCTGAAGAAGAGTCCTGACCCAAAACGTCAGCTTTCCTGCTCCTCTGATGCTGCTGTGTTCCTCCAGCTCCACACTGTGTTATCTTGGATAAGCTGGGGTTGTTTTCTTTGGAGCAGTGAAGGGACCTTGATAGGATTATGAAGGGCATACATAGAGTCAATACGAAGCCACTTTTTCCATTAGTAGAGGAGCAAATTACCAGTGGACACAGATTTAAGGTAAGAGATAGAAGATTTGAGAGGACAGTTGAAGGGAATTTTTTTTCATGTAGGAGGTGTAGCAGTCTTGAACTCACTGGTCACTGGTTAAGTGAAAAACCCTCTTAACATTTAAGCGATTTTTAGATATTCACTTACATTGCTATAGCCCCCAGAGCTGTGGGCCAAGAGCTGGAAAATGAAATTACTGTAGTTAAACTTTGTTGAACAGCATGGATTCAGTGTGCCAAATGGCCTCCTCCTGTTCTAAGGGCCGGTGAATCTGACAACTGTGGAAGCGAGAAGTGGACTCTAACACCAATAATAACATGGCAACAAACAAACCTTGCTTGGCATGAATATTTCTGTGTATCTTGAACAGTCTGTAAGTTGTCTACAGTTGCTTAAAGTTACGTTAGTAACAGTTCAAGTGAACAACAATTATATGCCATTCCTAATGGTGGAACTGAAAATGGCATATAACAACAAAAAAGAAGATTGGACACTTTCTGCTCATACAGACCATTTATTACTATTTGTTCATTTTTTTGTCAAAACAAATCATGTTTTCTATTAATGGGGCTTACTGTGGTGCAAAAACATTTATAATGTTCAATAAATGACATTGCAATCAAACATAATCTGATATATAGTTAGGGCTATCAGTCAAATAGGCAATCATAATACCCTAAGCTAAGAATATTATGGAAATGATAGTGTTTTGGCACTTTAATTTTCACAATGATCATGTTTGAAAGAGGTGTCCAAAGTGTAGTGAATGGCATGTCCAGTACTTAATTGGGTATCACAGAACAGCCTTCTGCGTACTGTTGTTGACATTCATTCCCAAGGAAATACTGCTATCTCCTGCTATCTCAGCTTCATGGGTTGGTATTTTATCCCTTCCCTCTCCACTTCTTGGACTACTGGATGTTCTGTCATTCACTGTAACCTGAAGTAGATTCCATTAACCTGCATACTGAGGTCTGGCTCTCTCAATTGCAGAACTGCAAACAGGTCCTGGAAAACTTCAATCATACAGCAAGATGTCACGTAACTTTACTCTCTCAGGTACTATGAAAACATTATTGTAGTCACCCTAAGATATGAGTTTTTACTAAACCAGTTTTCATCGCTCTCTGGTGCAAGATTCACTAGCTAAATACTTTCCACTATGCACGAGCCTCCCTGTTTGTCCAAGACACTGTTTCACAGCCTGCCATACAATGGTGGATGTCACCACTGAAAACCTTCCCCCTCTATGTAATATGTGCTCCTGCACTTGGCACCAGCAGATTATCATGTTGAAACCAGCAAATAGTAAGAGAGCTTGAATGGTGCACTCTTTCAGTTCCACCATTAGAAATGGCATATTACAGTTAAAATCCCTCTCTTGGAAAACAAAATGGATGTGGGTTCAAGCATAAGTCTGCTTAAGAGTTTCATGAATCTGCGGGCAATCTTCTGCTGTCTCTGATGGTGCATATTAAGGCAGGAAAGGCATGTAGTTAGGCAGGATGGTGGTGTACCTGAACCTCCCCACCCTCAGCGTTTCCCAGAATTAAGTTCTGTTTAGGAAGGCCCATGGCCAATCTGCTAACACCACGACCAATTGAGACTCATAAGCCAAAGAATGATCAATTTAAGGACTTCTTCCAGTTGCCGCTGGGTTACCCCAGCTGCATGTGGCCTATCGTATTATGACAAGTAGCTAAAACCATGCATTTAGCTCATCACCTCCTGGAGGGGATTCCCTCAATCAAAGGCATTGAGCATCTGACCAAGGGACTGGGCCTTGGGGGTTTGAGACAGGCGTTGGGATGGTGTGAGCAGAAGAGCTCCTGGCCTCTGACAACTCTCTGTAAGTGAGACATCCAACTTCCCTCTTGATTCCAGGGGAGGGCCTTGTTGGTGGCCTCTACACAGCCTGTCTGCTTTGCAGTTTTGGCAGGTCTTCCAGAAAAGAATCAGTGTGGGTTCCGCACTGGCTCACCATTCTGACATTGGAATTATGTCCTCCAACCTTAGGTGTTTGTCCTGAACTTCACAACATTATGTTCCAGAAGCGAGTGAGAATCGGACTGACATGTTAAGAACTGCTGAGAAAGTACTTTGTTTAAAGGACAAAGTTATAACGAAATAAACCAGTACTATTTACGCATTACTGCTCGGCAATCAACTACAAACAAAACGATTTGTGCAAGAACCTGTCACATGGTGACAGTTGCAAAAGAAACGGTATTAAATCTGATTTTTCTTTAACCTCAACTGAGGTTTGAGAATGCAAGCATTTTGTTATTCATTAGCTTCTCAACAACAAGTGACTGGTAGTGCTTTATGACTTTGTACTATAACATACAAGTTGGACACCACCTTTGATCTGATATCAATTTATGGATGATCGAAGCAAAGTACTTTAACACAACCTAGAGCGACGGTGGCTAAGTCATCCTGAAGAGAAGTGTTTGGGAAGATACACCCAGTCTGAGACGATCTGTCTTCTATGACAATCTACTTATCAAGTCATTAAGTATAATTGAAGGTATGTAAAAGATTCTAAACAGACAATGATACTTAATTGTCAATGCTGAATACGAACTGATGGGTGGAATTTGGCAGCAAACTGGCTACTGTATGGAGACTGTCACATCAATCCGAGCCCAAAGGCCAATGAGAAAATAAATTCAAATACTGACTACAAAATGCAGTTGAACAATTAGCCATAACTGTGTTTTAACTGTACTTTAAATATGGAGAGATTTTAAGTGTACAAATTGATGCAAATTGATTAATTGATGCAAATTTTCCAAGGACTCTCGGAATCAAATTTCAAACAAAGTACATCTGCTCATCCAGAGGAAGTTTATTGCAATATGCCAGACATAGCATCATTACCCAGAAGTATTGTTTTGTTTTGTAAAGTGAAATGAGCTTTGATATATTTCTTTGGGCATTCTTAAGCTATGAATGATTAAAACCTGACATTTAATACATGCCTCTGTTTGGAGTTACTTCTACAAGTACAATTAGAAATGGAAGGCAATTGCAAATGCTAGGAATTATAAAATATTGGGAATACATATTCTATGTCTCACATCCATGCAGAGATGTAGGTTGGTCCGTGTGTGATAAGTTTTACTCACAGTGCTTTACAATGTGCGCTCCATGCTTCTTACTCATTCATTCCACCTTGTTCTCCGGCTTTTTTCCTTTTCTCCGAGTCCACACCCAAGCTTGGCCAATCAAACACAGTGAGAACAATAATAACCTCATAATAAAACACAGAACAACTGAGCAATATAATATACACTGATCCATCAGTATCTACGAAGCAAAACAGGTCACATTTTGGAAGGAAGTTGCAATAAATGACCTGGTTCTGATAAAGTAATCTAACTTCCCCGTTTCATCGCTGCTGACGAGTGGGAATATATATACCAACACCATGACTGGCTGATCTTCAGATGCCGTATGATTTTAGAAAAGTTAAGTTGCCAATTCATCTTTTTTTTTTCCAGATTCTGATTAGCTTTCTCAAATCCATTTTAGATTTTTCCCACTCTGAAGAATCTTTGTGGGACATTTCCCAAGTAATCATAAGACACTCTGCCTTTCATTTGGATCATCTCTGACATCTTGGATAGTGGTCCAAAATGCAATGCACCTATATATTTCCCAACACAATGTGGAACTCGACCGCAAAGTGAAAATACCCCAATTTACACCCAGGGTATCTACAAGTTACTCAGCATTGAACTTGACTGACTAAGTATGCACTCTGGCTGAGAATGTACTGCTATATAATTAATGGGTGTCACGATGTAAATATAAAGAGACACCGAATACTTCAGTGTGGTTTCAGAGCAGATCCTTGTGCTGGTGGAAAATAAGGACATGAAGAAAATATTGGGATTTCACCACAATCGATTGAATAGTCAATGCTTTTTTATTTCCAAAAGGCCATTGTGAGACTTTTGTATTAGATGATGAAGGCGCTGAGATACAGCAAAGGATATTGATGGCCGGTGGGGAAACATTGAAATTGTAGGGGTGTGTTTCATTGCTGCTAATGCATTTTCTCCTTGAAAATCAATTTTAACTTCCTTTTGAAAAATGGCTATAAAATACTTTTCTAACGACAGTGAAAGACCAGAAAAGAAGGGAAAAAACAAAAGAGCGGAGGAAAGAAATAGATGTAAGAAATTATATTTACATGGCACCTTTCACTCATTATGTCCAAGGACTTTACAACTGATGAAGTACTTTAGTGAAATCACTGCTGTAATACATGCAAGGTCAGTAACCACTATGTACACAACCCTGCAACCCTTATCATCTTTACTAGATAGGTCTTGATTATCAAGGGGATCAAGGGTTACTGGGAGAAAGCAGGAGAATGGGGTTGAGGAACTTATCAGCCATGATTGAATGGTGGAGCAGACTCAATGGGCCAAATAGCGTAATTTCTGCACCTATGTCTTATGGTCTTACGGTCTTACTACCATTATTTCATGGTTTTCGTTCAGTCAAGCCCTGTAGGTGTTATTGTCACTTCAGTAAAAATGCACATCCAAAATTTAAAAAAAAACTTTTATACAATGTTTAACAGAAATAATTCAGAACC